AGAAGGAAACAAAAAGAACACAGGGGAGCCGAGTCACAATATGCTTATACGTGGTCGAAAACACCAAAGCAATGCTGTATTCTCAAGAAATAGAGTGCCGCAGATGAACAAACTCGAGTTTCACGCATGTTAATGGAAATGCAAATCTTTCAGAAGTGCCAGGTGGGAATAACGTTTTCATTTTCGGTATACGTTAAGGAATTCATTCACTTTCTATGTGTTCCATGAAAATGGTTACATAGGTTACAGCACTGCTCAGACTTACCAAGCTTATTTTCTGCCATTTTATGGCTTTGAGTATTTCGCTTCGAAGTTCAGGCACATTTTTTCAAGAACATTCCTACCACATTTTTGTTCAGATGTGGAAGTGCAATTAATATTTCACACATGAACACAAGGCGAAAGATGCCACTGAACGACCGAATAAATTTTGGAAGGACGTGATGATAGTCTGAGGGTGGAATTCAGAACGCAGTAATTATGTTTTTGGGCGAAACGCGACAATGTTTGACCTTCGCAGTTATTCTTTCCAAAGACTGGTGCTCCCATTGAAATGATTTGCCCCTAAGGGTTCGAAGAGCGAATTGCGCGGTCCCCCAGGTATTATATATCACGGTGTTTTCGGGGAAAAAACGCTGGTCTCTTAGAGGCAGAGGCTACCTCCAACTTCTTCAGTCGATATTGCCATGAGCTTGCACGCATTCTTCTACTTCTGGCAGAGCCTAACACTTTGCTACCCATCCTTAACCCTTCCGCGTGTGTTTCGGCCTTACATCCGGTCACACTGAACTCCTGATAGGCGTAAAATACTGCAACTGAGGTCTTATTTTGAAACTTCGTTTCAGCACTGCGCTGTCAACTAACTGTCGTTTCCTGCGTATGTTAGGTGCCCATGGATCCTGAAGTGAGATAATGCCATGCTTTAAGCCCGTATGTACCTATATGCTTTGGGGATGAATTGTTATAACTACTGTACTCTTCAATAACCAAGTGAGCGTAATCTAGCGCCCGTGTTCCTTCACTTAGTAGCTGAATACTCCTTAAATTCTGAACCAACGTGTGGTTGAAACTGCATTTTTATCTAGAGAGATGACTTCAGCAGTCATCTGTCCATCGAACAATTGCGAGGTAGCCCGGAAACATCCAACATTAGCGGTGTGAGCGTAGTAGATCGACAGTTTTGAACTCCCACTTTCAGATCTTGAGGCTGCTTTCCCCATGTCTGTTTGTACTCTATTGGTAGCCACAAAGGTAATTTAGGTGTACTTGGTGTAGCATTGATGGCTGCGATTTTCATTTTCAGGGTTAGCAAAATGGGCAATAGAACGGTTGATAAGATTGTAGAACAATCCGAAATTCATGTCTGAATGAGTGACTGAGAGCAAGCGTTAAAGCGTTGATCTCAAAGCTGTTTTGAAGATCAGGGGTTAGCTTGGAGAGGCTAGAAAAAAAGAATCGAAGATTTGAGAGGACTGATTTTGCTCGCAAATGATACTATTTACATAACTTAAAGAGTAAAGTTAGTCACTTCGATACTAGGGTTAGATAGCAGAGGGATAGATAAACATATGTCCATTTGACGCCATCTTGTGTTGTCAGTTAGCCATATGCACTCATGCATTATTCCACTATTTGCTTGCATGAGCTAACTGAGGAGAGTGTTGCCACAGATTTGGCACGGCATTTCTGAACGCATGCTTTCCGTGGGAATATAATCCGTCTAATCTTGTTTCAATTCTCTGTTGGGCAAGTGGATAGAATTCTTATGAGACTGCAGCTTTTGGATCAGTAGTGCTGTCTTGTCAGGCTGAATCATTTGATTAATAATATAGCAGTCTCTTACATGGCTGCCTGCTTCCCTTCTCTGTTCTTGGGTGGTGAAGGGACTAAATGGGGTAGGAAATGGTGTGCTTTCTGCCTGCTAGTCCAACAGTTCGGGTTTCACTCTTCTTCGCGACGTCCCCAGAATGTCAACGCTTCTATTAAGCGAAGGAGTAGCATCCGTTTTTAGCACTTCTGAGTGAGGTCCAACGTTCGTTATGAAACTCTTGGGGAGTAATTAAGAGGCGGTGGCCCGCAGTTGCCTCTTTGAAAAGTGTAAAATGGTGCTGGCTTCTGCGATTGTTCTTTGGCAACCGAAACCAGTGCCTATTCTGTAAAAAACTTTCCCTCATAGACACTTCTTTGTGAACACCTGAGTGCTAGCACGAATTTTGAAGGCATGCGTATCCTTCATCATTTCTGGAGTTCGGTTATGTACCATTTCTCTTCTTCGCAGATTAAGGCACAATACATTCCCAGCCTTTCAAAACCCCAGGTGCAGTAAGTCACCCCAGAGTATCTTAAAGCTACGTCTGTTACAAACCATCGTCCGTAGACTTTTTTTCAGAAGAGTAAGCAGGGACGCCCATATGTGCATGTTATTTTAAACTCGGAAACAGCAGCAGCCAAAAGGTTGCCGGCTGAGGTATTTCTGACCTTGAGCCCTGCAAACTGACTGAAACCGGTTTACTTAGATACACGACGTGCCGACCTTTAGATGTGCTCCAGATCAACTCATGAGTGGTGCGGCGATACCAATATTCGACACCAGCCAATATAGTGTTACTCTAGAGGGTGTCGAAAATTTTCGTTACGCCCAGATGGACAAGTTATACAGTTTGTTTGCGATTTTATATGGTTGTCTAATCACTCGAGGGGATCGCTAGTTCTATAGCACAGCAGCCCGATTCCGAAGACATGCTGGATAGAATAAAAGTTAATATTCCGGTAAAGAAAGCCCCAAACAACATTTTCAACCAGATTTTCGGGCACTATGGGCAGCAACTCTGCAAAAAGTATCGGAAGATTCTGCTAGTTATGAAGCGAGCAGAAAACTATCTCTTTACAGCATACGCAGAGAGTTAAAGCTCAAGTGGTTTCCAGCCTTTTTGGCCGTAGATGGCACAAAGGTCGCGGAAAACTCCAAATTTCCGTCACAAGCAGTTTATATGTTTGGCTTTTCTTCAGTGTCACATTACGTGTAATGAACGTCCATTTTATCATGGATTCTTATGCTTATAGCTTCAGCGACAGGAACCCAAATGACAACTTCGGCAATTGGTTGGCTTCCACATAATCAGGTAAACGAAGTAAATGTCTGTATCCAGGTGTATCCTTTCCTTCAGGTGGTACCGTTCAGTTCAAAATAAATTTACACCATCATAATTAGACTGCGTTCTTCAAGCTTTTAACCCTCCCTCTTCCTGAAAGATCGATCACTTTGGGGTCTGTTACACTTCAGGAGATAGTGACCTCATGATAGTAACAATCTGCATAAAATCCGTAAGAATTTTGTCCTTTGCACATCAACAAAGTTCTCATATCATTCTGAAACTTATGAGGTCGTTATTATTGTGGTGCACTCCGATACGGAGTGGGGCGTTGTGCACCACAAAAGCTGAACCTGGTTGCAGGCAGAAGAAAAGTCTAGAGTTCTTTCTTCGCTCGCGGAAAATTATGGAGTGGATGAGTTCGCAGCGCTATAAGTCTATAGTTATGGATCTATCTGTTGTGACCAAACAAGTCCAACAGAGATTAAATGAGGGAAACTAAAACCTGAAGAAACGTGGTAGCAGTAAACATAGTGTACGGCTCTGCTGACATTTGAAATTTCGCGTCTTTTTTCCTGTCTGATGCACCCTATAGGAGTTAAACAATACGTTCGTTATTTGTGCGCGTTCAGAGGTTGATCTAAACTTGGCCGATGATGACCGGGCCAGAGGAATGTTGTGTTGTGTCCGAGGCTTGAATTTGCGTAAGACAGTCGGCCACACACTAGTAGATTAGGCGCCTTCTCGCTAAAATCAAGACAACAGCGACTCCGAAAGCTATGATTCCTAAAAGATAATGCCTTCCTGGTAGTTAACTTCTGCTAACACCCCTACGGCGACGCAGTCTACATGGGTAATTTTGTGTTCCATGAGGCACACAACCGAATGGCTGATTGGCTTAGTCGACTTTTTCCTGCTTGTGCCAGTTCGTGAGGCGTCCACTCACTGCCCTTGTTCAGTAGCGGTACTCAGGTACGGCTTGGTTTGGTGTAGGTTTATCCGACCAGGAGCACTCAGGGCTTCCTGAAGAAGAATGACAAAATCCTCCCTACTCAGCAATGTCCGAGGACTGAAAAATAACGCGATACCAAAATGATCTGAGATCTAGATGTGACTGAACTTTAAGACGATGCATTAAGTAGACAGCTAGAGCTTATTTTATGGATTGCCATGTTGGTTTTGTTAGCGTTGTTCATAATATTCCAGCAAGAGAATCGAGAACGAAGTCTACAACAGGGATCCCGGATGAATTTCTATGCCAGCCTGTGCACATGTCTCTATATCAGCGGAATTTCTCACGGTTTCGAAAAACTGCGTTGGAAACCCGTTCAGGTAATAAATACGGGAGATTCCTCTGGACCAGCAATATATGACCGCCTATGACCTGTTGTAGAGGAGGACAGGAATGTTAGTCATCGAACTAGAAGGTTACGCTTACCGGGGGCCTAAAAAAGACCAAGATATTCAATTTCAGCGAATGAAGGGAAAAAGACAATCCTGCTGTGGCCCACCGCAACACTTGCAACGAGACTCATCAAAATAAGGTACTTTTCCGATTAATATTAGGTCACATGGCTATAATGTTGGAATCGCTCATCGGAGGGCCGAAATAATGATTAGATTTGGCATCTCAGTATTTTTCTCCACATATAGTAGTAGGAACAGCCTTTGAAGGGAATAATTGGAAATGCTAGAGCATGTACGACCTATCAGCGGAATAAAAATGGTCCTTTTACCTTGCAAGCTGTCTACGTGTGCATTAGTTTGCGTCTGCTAGATATACGTATGTACGGAATCTCCCCCTACTTCTCCATAATTCTTACATCCCTATTCAGCCTACACATTCTATATGCTTCATGTCATCCTGATTCCTGTTTTCGGTGTCCTTTTCTAGTTTTCATTGGCCAAATGATAATTCCTATGTCTATAGTTGACAGTCCAAACGTAAATTACAGACCTCCATTATCTTCATGGAAGCCTTGTAGCTTCTCAGAACAAACTAGCTGTCTGAAAAAGTGAATAGTACCCACGCAAACAAGCACCACTTTCGGAGCTCATGGCAGAGTATCGTAGTGTGCTATCGTGTCAACTGAAAAAGTACGATGAGAGAAAAGGGAATGAACGTTAAGGCCTAGAAATATGAACTCCCCCAAGCAAACCAACCTACAGTTCGCAAAACAAAACCCCCAACAAGGCAGCCCCTATCTTCAAGTCAACGGGCGGATCAGCTATAAAGACTTCCGCTACCAGTGAAGGAACCGAACCAAAGGAATCAAGCCTCATGACGTATAAGGGGGAGTTCAAAAAAGCCCAGTTTCCTCTACTTGGACTACTGGTATTGGATATTGAAATGTCGATCTTGCTTACCCATGCAACTAATGTCAGACTCTAATCACAAACTTTGACAATTTCTCGGACATTATATTCTTTTCTGGACTTCAGTTTCCATATTTTTGCAACATAGCAAGATAAAAATATTACTTTTTTTATCCCGATGTGTTTATTCTTCAATTGACAGTTACTTCATTTCTTCTGTCCATAATAACTATTTTCTTATTGATAACTCACGTTTCAAGGAAAAACGCAGAGGATACCAATACTCAAGTACAACAATACATTCCTTGTACAAAAGATAGTAAGTTGTCATGTCCTTCACTTTTAATAAGTAATGTCACCAGCGGCAACTCCAAACCCTGTTCACACTAGCTAGGCTTTCGTCTTTCGTCTCTGGCAGTAAGTGTCTTTTGTGTTAATTCTAGTGTAGCAGTTGACACTTCCAAAATTATTCTTTTGAAAGGTTATAGTGTTGATCAGTTTTCGGCTACCCCAAAAACCTAGGAGGAATACTAGCTCTTGCAAATCAGATGGTTTTACCTAGTAGAGTAACCGATCAGTTACCTTAGATGCCCTAGATTATGTTGTATTAAGCTTTTCAGTTGAAAAAACCAAATATCTAACCTAATTAATGTTAGGAACGTTTCGAAATATTTCTTTTACAAACATTTTGACCACATTAGAAGCCCCTGACCATATTGTTTTTAGTTATCGCCTCAGAGTTGTTTTTACGGTAATATCTTGACCCAACCGTAGTGTGTTCTTCGCAGTAACAATTTTCAATCACTTTATGTAAGCTTTCAACCGCCGCCTTTTCATCAATCTCAAAGTAAAAGGCTGTATTACTGTGGCTGGTTTAAGCAATTAATGGGTTGTTCTTTATATTGGCTCCATTACTTGACACTTCTACTGTATGTCTCACTTAATGACTTGTGATGGATGCCTAATATAATTTCTCCACCTTAAACATGATTCGACCGCGTTTTATGAATGTTAATAACTCAGTCTTCAGTGATAAGAATAGTAAGCCAATTTTACCCATGTTCATCCTTGCAGTACGTTTCTTGGTGGAGGTAAATTTTCTCCTGAATGCGTTTAATAGAGATGATACTACTTGTTCGAATAAGGAATTCTACTCGTTGATGACTTCGTCTGAGAAGCGTTAACTTATGCTAGGGTTATTCACCCGTAGTTTTGAATTTTCTAGTGGTAGTCTCAAAAGTGATCGATCCTTAAAGGAGAGAAAAAACCGGATATATCAGTCCTAAGGTTATTATTAGAAATATGGAATGTTAATAATAGGTGATATCTGCGATACTACAATTGTAAAAGGTTTTGTCTGTTTAAGTGGCCCTCATACGATTTGTCAAACAGACCGGCCTCAAAGTCATTACCTACTCCTTGAACGCCCTCCAGTGCTTACTTTCACATCCTTTGTGAAGCAAGGACTGGTTGCTGGAATCTGTTATTAAGAATTGTATCTTCAAAGTCTTCTCAAAGTTTCTTCTTGACGTGTATTTCATTGAAGACGCATTCGATCTGTTTCTTTCAGGTTTGCGTGGTTTCAGCTGCTTCACTAGTGTGTAGTGGGGTGAGATAAAATGTTCAGTATATATAACATATTAGTATCACAAATATCTCAGGTTGGCAAATGCTACTTTATTTTCATGACCATATAGAAGTAGAAAGTAGTTGATCAGGCATATCATACTACTAAAGATTTACTATTGAGTTCATTACTTGCATATCAGTCCTAGTTGGTTCACTTTAAGTTAATTTGTCAGGATGCCAATCAGCAAAATGAGAAAATTCACGCTGTCAACATCTGTGAACAGACAATATACAATTAACTAGCACTATTAAAGCTTGACTTCGTGAACAAATTCAATGATGTAAAGGTTTGTGGGAAGCTGAAGGTAGGTGGAAGCAAGCATAACGATGTCCCATCGCGTATCTGCAAAGTACTTTTCACGTGTGCTTAAACGTTCAAGGCAGTGGTGTTGATGTGAGGCATAGAGTCATCCCCAAGAAAGTTAGTTAGTTATTGCAGTCAAAAACCTTGATTATCCGAGGTAGCTGAGATATTTCTGAAGTGTGGTAAGCTGTGAACTCCTGCAAATTAAGATGATGACAAAAGTAGGAGTATAATCAACGCTCAGAGTATCCAGACCAAAACATTACACTAACTTGTGTACTTTTTGATGTGAGTTCTATGCGGGCCGAAGTAGTCTTTATTTTTAGTTAGACCACTCCTTGAACTAACTGAGATATTAGCTCTGATATGGAGAAAATATCTTCCTTGGATTCGTTCCTTTCTTTCATTGGTTTAGTATATGAAAGTGATAAAGTCTCCTGTTCTGGTAACATGGTTAGGCCTCATAAACGTAAATTCTGAGAGGTTCATACTTATTCTATGTGACTGGCGTTTGGAATCAACAAACATGAGAGCCTTCAACAGCTGTCAGACCTGATATTCGGTTACCTAACCAGATAATTGCTTCCTTAGAGATTACGATAAACCAGTACTCAGCATTTTATTAGTTCCTTGACCTGAGTATGGTATTTGAAACCAGACTCACAGTTTCGGATTATGATATGAGTGCCAAAGTAGTATATGAAGTTGTTAGTAGCAAACAATGAACTGCAGATTTATTGAAAAGTGCAGCGGTGTATTTTGTTATATTTAGCTGGAGTACAGAAATAGAAAATTAGTAGACTTAAAATTACTTAAAATACGCATAGGCTGAAAACAGAATAAGTAGATTAAAAACCAAAAGACGCACAGATGGACAAATTCAACGTAAAAACTTGCACATAAGTGCAGTGATTCAAGTCGCCAAGTAGCATACAAAGAAGTTTATAGAAGACACACCAAAATAGACAAAGGAGTATGTGAGGAGAACGAATTTAAAAATGGAGGTTAGTCAAAATACTCAAAATTTAGAAGACATTAAAGAGTGAATATATCCGCACCACTGTGACTGACTTTGAGCCATTTCATTAAGAGTTCTCAACCACTGATTTCTATCATCTCGGTGACCGCAGTAAGATGGTCTACAACTCCTTGCACATCTGAGACCAGCAGTCAGATGCATCGTCTGGCGCCACGTTTTGGTGTGGACATCCTGAGCCCTCTTACAACTTAATCCACCTCTCAGCATTGTACGTCGAGGTAGGTGGTGGCTCGGCATGCCGAGTATATGTCCAGGTCACTTCAACCACTGAAGATTCACAACCTTGCCTAACCTCCACACTACTAACATGACGAATCTGCCGTACACAAGCAATGCTACGAAGACACTTATGATCAAAGACTTATAACCGCTTCGCATCTTCTACTCTCAGCATCCATGTCTCACAGCCGTATAAAAAAACAGAACCAACTGCAGCGCAGTATACTCATTCTTTCATATATAGTCGGATATCTAGTCAGCACCACAGGTAACACAAGTTGGTAGATTCCAAGTGGGCCTTCTGTATCCGAACTGATATCATGTCAGCAACCACCTCCTTTATGGTTATATAACTTCCAAAGTAAGTAAAGTGGTCGACACACTCCACCACTTCCTCCTTATCCTTGGACTAAGAGTAGTTGCAGATCAATCCTGAAACATCATCTTGCATTTAACGGGTACGAGATGCATTCCAGACATACTCAGATTTTTTCTGGACGCGTTTCTGCATTTCGACAGTGTCCTTACCTATCAGGATGGTATCGTCTGCATACTCCGAGCCAACCAGATCCCCTTCAGGAAACAAATCAGACCCTGTGAAGTCAGACCTTAATTTTATGTCCATTGATACATTTATGGCGAAGTTTAACCGAAACAGTGACAGCCAGGATTTCTGATGAACATCACTAGTTGTCATCACTTCATATGACAAATTTCCATGGCTACATGAGTTTGAGTAGGGAACTTTGGTTCTTGTTACGTACTTGCTTGGTACTCCCTTCACCGTCAGACACTGCCACAACACCTCACAGTCAACAGAGTCGAATGCTGCCTTCAGGCTAACAAATATGACAAGTTTCGATCGCTGGTAAGTAGGCCCATATTACAGAACCTGTAAAAGGGTAAAGATCTGATCGATGCTCCCTTGTCCAGATGTGAAACTTGCCTGGTTCTCTCGAGTTTGTTGTTCTCCAGCTCTAGTTAGGTGCCATAACTATGAATTCGAGGATCTCAGAGACAGTATTAGTCAAACTGATTCCTCATCGGTTGTCACAAGATTTCTCTCCCTTCTTATGACTGGAAGTTTTAGGTTTTAAAGATCAGCAGTGAGTACGTCTTTAAGGAGGTTATTAGTTTCGAGGCATAAATAGGTCTTAACCATTATTTATTGCATTTTATACTTGATGGGTGAGAGAGAAGGACTTAAAGTACTCAGGTTTCCGTCCAGTATCTTAGGAAACGTTGCATTTTTTCCGAACATCCACTTAATGAGATGACGTTATCTGCTTATTATCTGGCGATCACTGGATGAATGCATGTAGATGTATAGGGAAGTTTAGCTCACAGAGCTGAGATTCTTGGGGTGGTGCGGGGTGGGATGGTAAGTAAAAATAGTTGTTTAAGACCTTGCACAGATCTCTTAAAACACATGTTAGTCCCAAAGTATTCATTCTTAGTCACTCCACTGACTTAAAACTGTCCCAAAACGTAATACTTGCGCTAGCTGACACTTCAGCATTGCGTATCTAATTTGCTGATTGCTAGTGTCGTTTCTTCATTCTACTTAGAGTACCCAAAGTTTTAGCGACTTCACATACTTGTGGAAATGAAGAATTTTCTCATGGATTAAAGGTCGTATGGTTTTCCTATATGGAGGGAATGCAGTAGTATCCGTTATGCCTCAGTGGTTAGCGTTTACATTCATTCTTTTATCGTAAGTCGAATTTAGTATGCAGATTTTAAAAATTGGTACAGCTTTATTTGTACCTATCTTGATAGAAAGCTTGAAATTTAGGGCACCTTAAACTCTACTCATCGTTCTTTGGTTAACTGTTGCCTAATGTAGTCTTAAGTTCTTATTCAACTTCAGGGATAATAATGTTACGTTAACTCTGAAACCGAAGTGAACCTTAAGATGCATATTCTGTAATGGGGATTAGAATTCCTCTCACTTTTTGTATCTTATGCAAATTTCTGATATTTTTTTCAGGTGATGTCTTTAAGTGGTGAATGGCATCCCTGGGCGACACACAGATGCGGAAACAACTTCGGGTTTGTAGGCGCCGTCAGAGACGTCACATCAGAATAAAAGGAAGTTGTCGATCTTCATCTAACAAAAACAGTTCACTCGATCTTAAAAATTACGAAGTTGAGTCGGAAGAAGTGTATGTTGTTGAAAATATCCTTGACGAAAGAATTATTAAGGGACAGAAATACTACAAAGTACGTTGGCAAGGTTTTCCTCCGGAAGCGGACAGTTGGGAACCTGAACAAAACCTCACCAATGTATTGGATATAATTTCTAATTTCCATAGACGGTCCAAAAGCAAAGTTTCTAAAAACTTAGACATACAAAAGGATTATCATAATGTTTGTGCAAACTCTCCAACTTCACTTCCAACCCCTCCTTCTACACCAGGCTCAGTAGTTCAGAACCTACATAATCGTTTTAGAGGTGCTAGTGAAGAGCGGCAGTTGAATAAATCTGTGAAGCGCAAACATTGCACGAAATCACGTACTAGTGGAAGGTATGAGTACGTCCCAAAACACCAGTTAGTAGCCTTGAAAACAAAGTACTTTGATGACATCCGAGATGGAAAAATTGATTTGTGCTCAAATGACCTTTATTCTCGTGTTAAAACTCGGAAGCGTCATGCTACAGAGTCTACTAGCAATTCTGTAAGCAACGATTCCGCTCAGAGTCGTAGTGGTAGTCTTCATGGAGAAACTGAATTGGAATGCGATGCTTCTATGGAAGTGTTCACACCATGTTTACCAAAACGAGAACCAGTTTCCCCATCGTCTTCATGTTTTGGTGCTAATGAATGCTTCCAAGATTTTAACTGCACAGTAGAAATCAATGAACAAGAACAATCAAAAGTGTTTAATGCAGACAGTTCGCAGCATCATCTTCCCAACATTCCTGAAAATATGGTTTCTTCAACTAAAGGTCCGTTGCATGGATCAGTTGGAATTTCAAAATTGATAGCAAAGCCGTTCAGTCAGACTTTCATTTTAATTCTACTTCGAAAGGCATATCTTGTAACCTGAGTTTTTGTAGTGCTCTGGATAAAGTGGATGTGGGGTTGTCTCCAATATCTTACGTGAGTGTAATATTTCATTTCTTTAGGCTTATATTTCAGTATTTAATTAAACTATTCCAAATTAGCACTAGAACAGTTACGCCGTGTAAGGAGTTGGTTTGTTGCTTCAAGTGGGCTAGTTTATTCCTAGAATTAAGAACACTGGTCATTCTTGCTGTTTCATTTTAATAAAGTAAACAAGTGATGTGCTAAATTACACGTATTTTTATTTCAGCTATGCTTGGTTATCAGAGACACTTACAGAGTTGCTTACTGAGCTTTCATGTTTCTTTTGTGACTGACTGTCTGCTCTAGTGGTTAGTTTTCACCCAACTTCATTGTAGATATTTGCTAAATATCTTATTCTTTCAGGATGTACTGTATCAAAATCCATCATATGCAGCAGGCAGTGAGCCACGCCTATTTGTAGGAGCTTACGTTACTACCTGGCTGCCGAAAGTCTAGTAAATTGAGCAGGTTTCGAACCCATAGTTTACCGGTTGAAAGCCAATCACTTGAGTCAGCAAGTCATAGCTCCACGAACTAAATGCACAATGTTTAGTATTCTTGACTTTTCATTTTAGAAGCACCATAATATAACTGAATGGAATAAGATTTTTCTTTAGGTGTAAAATATATTGGGTCACTGATGGACCACTGTGAAAATCAGGATCACAGTGGTATCGATAAGTTTTCATCATTGTACCTCTGCTAGCATATGTGCTCCTATGCGGATGCCTGGATGTTGCTTGAATATTTATTGTGGTAGTTTACTTGGTTGTGGCTAGCAGAGGAATCGAGGACGTGCGTTCCCTTCTATTTAGGACTCGTCAGCTGGATGTATCTGCGCCCCAGTGAGTGATGTGATTCTCACTGGGACTCGAACCTCGTATCCATCGCTTCAGACGTCAAGGCCTTATCTACTAGGCTACTGAGGCACAGTAGCCACCTCTTGTACAACAGGTATTAGTTGTTACTATTTGTTGATATAATAGTAATAATAATAATAATAATAGTAATAATAATAATAATAACTAATACCCACTGCACAAGAAGTGACTATCGTGCCTCAGTGGCCTAGTGGATAATGCTTTTGCGTTTGAAGCAATGGGTACAAAGTTCGAGTCTCATTGGGAATCACATCACTCGCCAGGGTGCAGGTACATCCAGCTGATGAGTTCAAATGGGACGAAAGACGTGTCCTGGATTTCTTTGCTAACCGGAACCAAGTAGATTATCATGATGAGTATTCAAGTAGTCTCAGGGCATCCGCATAGGAGCCCATATGCCAACAGAGATGCAACAATTCGATCCAGTATAACAACAGAGAGATACAAGTATATCAATAATTATTTATTTGTTGTTCTGAAATACTTTTGAAAGCATGCAGTTTGGACTGTCGTCGGTGTATATTGTATGCATGGTCATGACATGCAAATAATGAGTACAATCACAGTACCTCATTTCTACTACAAGCAGACTGAACGACGTAGTGTTCTGGACAAAAGTGCCTTGGTTCAAACTGTTTAATTTCAACGACAAGAAATTAATGAGTGTGAAGGAGATTCCTCAGTAGACAAGAAGGATATTCGAAAAAGAGACAAGAAAGTGATCGGAATGTTAGTAAAGGGTCAGTATACCTGTATCTGTCAGTATATCTTAACGATTTCTATCATTGACTGAAAGATCTAAACAACACAGTCATTTGCATAATTGACTATCTCTCCGATTCACTGCGCCTGACATCTACGCCTCCAGTGGTAGGCTAAAGGAAAGGCAGCGAAGTGGATATAACACTACTCTTTGTACGTCTATCTCATTACTCATTGATTGCACCACATACAATTGATCTCACAAAGGAAATACTGGTCGAATACATGTAACCCGTTTAAATCTATCATCTTTAATTACCATTTCGTGGTCACATAGTTTGCGACAGCGCACTGCTGAGCAGTACATCTGGTTACCTAAAAGTATATTAGCATCTCTCCGGTTCTATTTGTATCGTAAGTTTGCAACAGAAAATTGACCATTTTGTATCCGTGCTACGATTACAGAAACTACCAACCTACTAAGGCTTGTTAGACTTCCAACAAAAGTGAAACTATCAATGTGTTCAACCTTTTCGCTCCTTATTTATTGTGGTTTATCTATGCAGATGAGTTTTGAAGCAACAATTCATACGAAAAATTCTCCGGTAGGTTGCAGTATCGTCATTTTTAAGTAAGAGGATTATTTCTTGTGAGTACACTGACTGGTTTACTAAAGTTTTTAAAATCTTGGTTAGTAGTTGGTATGCTTAACCCCAATGCGAATTAGCAAACTATTAAGGTTGTGGAACGACGTAAAACAAAGGGAGATACAAAACTTAAACTAGTAAGATGTCAAATGCTGTGATTGTCGCCGAAGTTATTCACTTCAGACCTTCTATCTGACCGTACTTGTTAGGTTGTTTATATTCGTTGAGTAGCTGAAGATACAGTTTTGCAAATATAATAAGAGCACCAAATATCCACTTCACTCTTAAAGAAAACTTGGCTCCTTAAGAAACCGGACTAATCCCACAAACTAATTGATAGGTTATATGGATTGGGACGGAGACAGTTACTGTCTTCATATTTTGACACGCACCTTTCAGTGAGTCTAATTACAACTCGAACTAACTTCATCAATTTTTGAAAAAGTGACATTAATAGTTTGGCTTTTAAACGCTTGAAACTAATTTTTACTCATATATCTGTTTTATCCATCATTTTGTTTTACTAAATCAATCAGAGGTAGCGACTGACAAATAGAATTAAGAGACTTTATTTCTTGTTTGTAGCCTACCGACATCAAGGCACTTCAAACACCACAGCAAGGGACTACTCTTCCACCTGCTGTTAGTAAACAATCAGAGCAGCTCCATAACATTCATACTCAGTTTCAAGGACAAACTGTTTCATCGTTGCGGTCACTTGTAAATATTTATTTCAATCTAATTCAGTCTCATATTTCAAATCAAGATCCAACGGCACATGACGACCAACCAAATGACTTCCATTATGAGCTTCAATGCTTGCCAAATCTTTGCATTTATGATTCATTAACGAGCATCCAGACATCAGAAGAATTCTTGGAAGCTGTTAATAACCAGAGATGGAGTCTTGTTGCTTGTACATCTGGAAATTTTTTTTCAGTCTGTAATCAAGAGCAAAGAAATGCTTCACCATCAAAAGAGGCCTTTGAAACCCATCAAACTGATTGCAAATCTGATTTGGGAAGTGACCTGCGTTTCAAGGAAGACGTCTTATTAGCCTGTGTTACTGGTGGCGCGGGTAGACCGTTAGTGTTAGACAAACTACTTACTTCGGGATTGGACCCAAATAAAGTTATCGAACCGAATTCCAAGTGGCCGTTATTAGCTCTAGCGGTTAGTTTGGGTCGTTTGCACACTGCCCAGGCTCTACTTGATGCAGGTGCTAAGCCAAACTGTGTTGAACCAACCTGTCGACAACGATCAGCTCTTGGTCTGGCCATAACAGCAGGCGACGTGGATATGGCCAACATGCTTATACTGTCTGGAGCAAATTTTTATGAGGTACGTTTTTTAGGGGCATTAGCAACTAGATTGAGTAATGCATTGTCAACTAACATGCATTGGAGTTATAACTACTGAAAACTAAATCTATTTTTGAAGTTCACACTGATCAATCTTATAACAGACTTGATCAGCGTAGAACTTAACAAAATTTGTCCTTTGAATGTATTGCACTTCTCAGTGATGAAAACAGATGATCACATAAGGATGTAAGTATTAAAATAAAGAAAAAAGCTAAAGACTAAATTTAACAAATGAAATGGAAATAATAGGCTATTCGATGTTTATAAGTGCGCATATGCTGGAATAACTTCTGAGTGGTGATACTTAAAATTTCCGATCAGCCAGTTTATACTGTTTGGAGTAACGGATATCAAGAAGTAAGACTACATTTACTCGGACATTAGGTACTGGCAATCAGAAAATTCGTGAAATGAAGCCTAACGTCTTAGTCGAAGGATCACAGTATGTCCTTCACCCAACTCATTTTCCGCATGTCAGCAAGCCCTTAGCGGGAAATATTCAGTACTTCCCAACATTCTCTAATCATTTAGGTTCACAAGATCAGATTTACATATCGTTCAAACAAGAAATTGTTTCCACAATATCACTGCACAATCGTATTTGCAATGGTTGTAGACGTAAAATAGTCTATTTCTGAATAGAAGGTTGAGATTACCTTAATAGCAGTCCCAAAGAATGGGATATAAAACTGTTAAATACAGTAAAATTAGAAAGTATTTGAAGTGCCATTTTCACAATAATATATCCACTTCATATGAGTAAAATTTTAATGTTCTCTGATGTATATTACGCCAGTTCCTTCTTTTGAGCATGTTTTACACGTTGATAATAGGTACGTTTGTAAGATATCTTGGTTAGCGATCAGATTTAAAGAAGTGACCGCCGAATCAGTCGTTCAGAGACTCTATAAGATTCAGTCACTAACCACGCCCCAGTTCAACTCCAATCACTATATGTTGTGTCTGAACTTTATGCGATTTAAGACTACACCACACCCTGCTGGCTCTTATTTCAACTTTTAGATTTTTATACAAACGATTTCATGTTTTGGTTTTAATTAGTTTCCTGATTCATCATTGCGCACCACTGTGTGTGGCTTATTGGCTTAAGCACTCAACTGTTAAGCAATGAGTCTCGGGTTCGAACCCCACTCCATCTACTTCGACTTAGGCAACCGAGTATTATCATAAACCCTCGAAATGTAAAAGTAGTTCATAACCTAGTACAAAAATATGTGTTGAGTTGAGTTGCACCAGTTTTTAAATTTAATTGATCATTTTAAGCGATGGGATCATGAAATATCTATTTAGAAAGAGGAGCAAAAGAAAACGAAGTATGATGAGGCATTAGTTTTATTTTTTGTATCGCACTACATATTTTTATATCCTACTTGAAATCTCTTATAATTGGTGCTATTGATGTTTCCATAAGTAATGTATAACTAAAGTTCTTTACTAAAACTTTGTAGGTGGAACCCGGGACAACCGCCCTCGCTCTCATTGTACGATTATTAAATGCTCATACGTCTACACAATCAAATCCTAAATTAAACTGTGGCCAAATGCATAAATCTTATCTTGCCATCGCGGAATTTCAAGATAAGTTACGTAGTCCAGATAGTCAGTTTCCTCCTATTCCTTCACCTTGTCCTCCAAGTGGATTTGATGTTCCCAGCTTACCTAGATCTCAAATTTTTAATGCACTTATAAATTCCAATTCGGGAAATCACTGTGATCTCATTGCGTTAAATAATGTGGATAACCACAATTTCAAATCTGGAAACTTTCTACCTTCAGTAGACAGTTTACGACGACTTCATGAACTTGTTGTTGCTCACCATGCTCGTTTATCAATGAGTGTGACTAATTTAGTCCGAACTTGGCTTACTCGGGCTAATCTTGTTCAAGTTGGATTGGTTACACCATGTCAATGGATAAATGTGCGTCAGTGTTCTGCTACAGTGAAATTTTCATGGCCAAGTGGATTTACTAAACTGAAATCACAATCAAGTAGTGTGGTTGCGCCTATCTTATTTTTAGTTCATGGTCGCATAGCGCCTCCTGCTTGTTATGATGTTTGGATGGATGATGAAGGTCCTTGTGCTATAGAACGTGTTTGCCTTGATCAAACGTACACACAAAGGCCATTGAGTCGTATGCTATTTGTAACTACACTGTATCCACTCGATTGGAAGTCATCGAAACCTCTAGAACATGAAGTTTCGATCGAATTCAAACAGGATCACATGCTACACATTCATTCTACACGCCCCACGTGTATTGCAGTCATGATTATTGCTGTCGCTTTATCCCGTAGTAATGGTAAGGAGGAAGTTCCACAGAACATTGAACATTTGAACACCGTTCAATCTTCACGTCCTGCTATAAATAGTAGACAGTAGACTAACTTAGAAGTGACCAATTTCCATTAGCATATCTATTATGTTTGGTCATTTAATTAGTCAATATGAATTATTCTTGTTTCCTTTTGTAAACAGTATTCTAGCTAACTAGTCAGATAGGAAAAGAGCATATATAATTAAATAACTTCCTAGAGTAATGAAACTAGTTGGTTTTTGTCGACCTCAACAAATATTTTCAGGTGATCGTGCGACGATTTCAATTGAAATTAACTTTGATCAGCTGCTCATCTGTTTACCGACGTGCTTTCCACTATATTTATTCTTAGGCATCATTTATCTCAGTTGCATACATTCTGTTGATAAAAATCGTTGATAACCAACTGCTGCTACTGTTACAACTAGCAATATAAATATTATTTGCCAATTTTTTTTGTGCCTATCTACATAAATTAGCTTACACATTATAAATACTGTGATCTAACTTATACGTTTCTTTCTGGTCTGTTTTACTCAGTCGCCTAGTAATTATTACCAATTACTCCACAGAATTGCTGATTATCAGACAACATATATACAACTGAACTTGTCTTCCCTTCGAGTTGTTCAACTCTTTCAACTACACATATTGCAATCACTACTACCTTTCTAGAAATATTTCCCTTTATGTAAAATAACTCCATATTTATTTCTTTGGATATATGTTTACCATTCATTTTCTGATTTTATTCAGTAGAAAACAAAATACTTAGGAATAATAAATTTTTGACGTATCTCTAGGCAGTTTCATTTATTTGAAAAAATAGAGAAACAATTCATATTAGTAGTGTTATTATTGTGTTGAACTTGTTCATTTAATATATCTGTATGCAAAACTCTAACTACCTGCTACTTGCCTTTCTGCTTGGTTGCCTACAGAAATTGTTGTTATTTGTTGTTAGCATTATTATTATTATTATTATTATTATCATCCGATCAATCATCTTTTATTTCTGCTCTTTAACTTATTCTTTAGCATATATACGTCAATCATATATGAGTTAAACCAAGCGTTTTTTTTTATCTCCTTCTATAGTACATGGAATAGGTAGAAGTTTGTACACTTTAAATAAGTGTGAGGATTACCTTGGTTTAACTTCACATGAGTCAACTACGGCGTATAATAGTCGAACTCCCTTACATGGAATCCAGTTTCTAACACCATGATCATTCACCCGGTCATCGCGCTACATTTAACCACTTTCCACGATTAGAGAAACAAGTGAGATGAATGAAGATGAAAAATTAATTCAGCAAAAGAACTCTCCGTTGACTTCACTCACGAGGATTTACAACTGCAAATACTTACATACAATTTTGGCAAATATCTCTAGTACGTCAGTTAGTTGTGGCATTTTGTCTCTTCTAATACATCGAAGCTGCGGTACACTACCTGCTTGAGTTACTGTTTACACTTCCTATGTTCAGAGACAATGTACCTTTGATCTTGTGTCAAGCAACGGATAATAGCCCAACCGATTACTGCTACCTTGACGTGGTGGTCGGGTTTGCTTATCACATTAACCCAATGAGGTATACTGGTGAAACGCTTGTTCTTTCGAGGTCTTACCATATCAGAAAGGTTTCTTGGATAGTGATGGGACGAAAAGCAGCTGCCGTTGTAGTCTAAATTGCTACACTACGATAGGGGCCCGAGGGCGAAGTTGTACTACTGGCTGAACAGGAGTGCGACGGAAGTAAGATGTCTCCCTTGGGTGACTGGTAGTGCCACGCTGATGTTAGCTTCCTGGTGGGAAACGGGCTAGAAAGGGTTGACCCTAAAAACGCCACACTCCTACTACCCCGTGACATGCCGATGCAGTTGTTAGGAGTTCACAGTCCTATTCTAAAGCAACAAACGAAGACCTCAAACTTGCGAAAAGACAGCGTATAAGCGACCTGAAGCAGATGTCCCCTGGGCTCTGTGGTCACGCACTATCTCTTCCTTTTCAGGTACCTCAAGAAGAAACAAACATCCATGGTGTGAGCAGCCGATAAATGTCAACCACCTTCACACTTCCAGTAATACTCAATGCTTAATCAAACATAACCTGTCCTCCTCAACTCTGTGTCCTTTACATCCACCTCAATATATTTATATTAAACCTCGTATACTTCTCCCCCACCTCTCATTCTGCGACCATTGCGAACGATGAAAGTCATCGAAACTTCATTCCGAGTCTCCTAAAACTCCGCCATCGATTTCATGTAGGAGCTCTAAATATCCGAATTGTATACCAAATCAGACAGCAAGTATCGCTTACCAAAACTCTAGAATCTCTAGCCATGGGTGTATACTGTGTCTCTGAGATACACATACAGGAACCGAGTGTGATTATTCATTCGACATCAGCCAGCTATATTAGTGAATCTTCAAAATTCACTTTGCGAGTATCCGGAGACCGAATGGCTAGATCTTGTGGCATCACTGGTATAGGTATGGTGTTGATCTGTAGAAGAGAGAGCGCACTCCTCTGTTGAATATCAGTCAACAACCGTCTGTGTGTTGATTGATTGAGTAGATCTGTGAGGACTGTGAAGGATCGTGAGACTAGGCGATGTCTATTCGTAATCTCTGCCAATCGCAGTTCGGAGGACGCAAAGGATGAATTCTGTGAGAAGCTGTCAACTTTGCTGCAGAAAGTAAAACGTTCAGATGTCATAATGGCAGGTGACTTTATCGCTCAAGTAGGGCAGTTGAGCCAATCGGAAAGGCATCATGGGGGTATCTACGGAATCCCATGCCAACAGACCGGCAACGATGATCATCTCTTGCACCTTTGTTGTGGCACCCACTTGTTTCTAGGAAGCACTAACTTCCAACATAAGGAAAGACTGTCTCATATGGCATTGGCTGGCATCAAACCATTGGTAGACACAGATAGTTCATATAGCTATAAGCCATCGTTGAAGAGGATCGGTGGGGGAATACCGCTCTTTCTTTGGCTTCCAATCAAACGTCAGTGCGGGCTTGTGTATGTCTGCACCTTACTGATCGCACAAGGCAGACGTCAGTAAAGCCTGTCTATGGATGACTGGGAAATGAGAACGTAAGTATGCATTTAGGGAAGATTGAGTACGCAGTTAATTCAACATGACAGCGATCTCCACCCTCGGGAAACCTGGCATGATATTAAGCCTGCTTTAGAAACAGCAATAACGACAGCTGGTAGCCTACACCCGAAGGCTAGCAAATGTTACTGGATTTCCGCAACGTCATCCAACTCAACTGATGTGACAAGATTGATTCCAGCAGGGTCTGACCAAAAAGAAGAGCGAAAGCAACTTCTACGTAAATTGACCAACAGTCTTCGCTATGATCTGGAGCAATGGTGGGCGGTGAGGGTAAGAGATGGAGAAAGCATCTGCACCAAGAAATATGTGGTAATTGTTTAGGCTCATTAAGGACAATGGCAAGAAGAAAACGATGTTGAGTGAGACCATCACTGAAAAGGAAACCACTTTGGCAACGTCTCAAGATGGACAGCTTGAACGTTGGGCGGAACACTTCAAAGCACAGTTCAAGTGGCCCACACTTCAGTTGCTCAGTATCCAGCTTGAACCTGATTGGGACATAGATATCGGTCCCTCAACTGTCCTTGAGATTAGGAAGGCTGTTTCGAACCTGAGTCTATGCAAAGCTGGTAAACCGAATAGCTTGCCACCTCAAGGTTTTAAAAGATGGAGGTAGGAAATTGCTCATGAGAGTAACGGAGGTGGTATGTAGCATATGGCAATCAGAGGTACTATTAAGCTGGTTTACTCCATTGATCATTTCTCTACAAGAAGGGAGAGAAGTCGCGGAATTTTATTCCAACAGATAACCCTTCCAATTTGAAGTGGACAGTGTTACTGTTGGGTAGTTACACACAAATACTTTTAGATCAACAAGGAATTTATTTGGGACTTTGGCGGATTTGAAACTTGTAATAAATTCACATTTACATGATATACGTGGCTATTTCACTCACGATTAGTTGGGCCCCCTAGGTCAGGGTTTCTAATTAGAACTTCAGGATATCCATCTCGAAGTATGTCACTAATGAACACCTTGCAGGAATGTATTTTGAGGTTAATGGGGATTTCATTTTTCAGGTAGTCCCATACTAGGATGAAGTAGCTGTCCAGTGATCCCAAGTTCCCAATGGTTTTCCAAGTAGTCAGTCCGTGATGAACCGTACCTTAAACGTAAAATCCCCATTAACTTCAAAATACATTACTGCACATCGCTCCTTAGTGACGTGCTTAGAGATGGATATCCCGAAGTTCTAATGAGAAACCGTGACCTGCAGGGTCAACCAATTGAAATATATGTCAACTGAAGACGTCGGTGGATAGTCGCGCTATACCGTGAATTGACAGAAGTAGGAAACTATGGATCGTTGAACTCCGATTCATTGGCTGAATGGTTAGCGCGTTTGCCGTGGAATATGGTCTTGAGTTCGGTCCATAGCCGCATCATGGGTGCATACTACTGAGGATTCCCATACTAGGACGAAACAGCTGCCCACTGCTCCCAGGTTCTCAGTGGTTCTCCAACTGATTGCAGTCCGCCATGAATCCTACTTTAAATATGTTTATAACATTATTGATATCTAGACAACATTTTGTCCAGTTTTCTGTAACTGTAGTAATAAATTTGCCTATAATGAATTGTTTTTCAAGCCTCAAGATGAAACAAAAGATTTTGCCAGTATCTCATTCGATTAACAACATTTTTACTTTACTCAACCTTCTAGATTGTATAAATGTTAATATAATACAAATAATCCCTAAACCTTGTTGTAGTGTTCATAGCTTATAATGTTGACAGCAGCTGTAACGTAGGATTGAAAGCTGTGAACTGATATAAGGACTAAGGAATATTACTCCATTCTATTTCTCTAGGCTGTGATCTAGGTACCAGTAATAATCAGCACTAATACTGATTTTCCAGGAAATGATTAATGTTTTTGCAGACAATACTGTGTTAAATACTTGCAATTGAATATTATACTGATGAG